GTAGACTATAAAGTATAGAAGAAAATAACGAGCCTTAAACACACGTTATGAATAATGTAATTTCTGACGATTGAAGGTCGAATTAGTCAGAAATTATTATTACTCTGATCATGAGGGCACGATAGAGAGGCTCGCGGGGTGTCATGGGACTATTTAGGCGTCAGGTGGGAGATTTAGGTCATTGTAGGTTAGTCAGTCTTCGTGTAGTAGGGTACATCTATATCACATGATTGACTGACACATCCTCAATAATCTATTCACATTGAATGTCTCCTGTTAGTGTAGTCAGAATGTAACCTTGGTATTCAGAGTTAGTTATGTGTGTTGTCGGGTTAACAAACAAATATTTTCTTTACCAAGAAAGTCAGCGAGATCCCACATCCCATTACCATTTGGCGAGTGCGTATCATAAAACCACATAATCACTTATCATTTTACATAGGCTTTTTAGTTTAGTCAGGCTATTACCAGTGTTAAATTTTATTTTATTTATTTGTGTTGTTTGTTAAGTCCTCATCAATATTAAATTTATACAGTAAAGACTTGCGTGTAAGAACCTACATTTTTTTTAATTTAAAGATCGAAATTCATCAAATAAGCATTTCACCAAACCGAATGAATTGAACAAATGCAACAACAAAAACAAAACCGGAGGAATCTACATAAACACACATATGCATACATGTATCACTGCGTCTGAAATCCGTTCAAAATTTCAGAATTGCGCGAGTGTTCAAGTTTAAAAATTATTTACGTTAAAGCGTAATTTGAATATTATTTTTTTCCGAGGGCTTTGCAACTTTACCATCTTTACCAGTCAGTTTTACCACTTCTCCTGGCAAACATTTCACTAAACCGATTAAATTGAACAAATAAAACGAGGAAATCTCCATACTTTGTAAACACAATATGAAAATCACCACGTACGAGTGTCAAATACAATATAGAAGCTTACTTAGCCAATCCTGTTCGCTTTTCAATTATAAAATGGTTTCCTGACCTCTCTTGGTTTCCAGCCGTAAAATTCAAGCAGCCTACGAAGCAGCCCGGTCCCTAACGACGCAAAGAAAACCTCAAAACTCGCCGGGCAGTATTTACAAACACAGTTTGGTTATTTTGGGAGTGAGGTTATGGGCGAAAACCGACAGAAAACTATTTAACAACTTCAACAAAGCAACTCAAGTGTTATTGTTTAGAGATTAGCAAAATTAAAACAATGAAATTTATGAAATGTCTCACAGCATGCACGGTTTCCAACCAGTAAGAGTTTACAACTCCTATTAAGATAAGCATATTTCCCCGAAGCAACTTAAAGAGTCGCTTACCACAATTTGGCAATTACCTTCAGTGTGAATCTTCCAGGCAGAAGTTGTGAAGACTTCAAACTGAACTAACCTTTTCGCCACCGATCTCTATTCCTGGTTCTCTCCACCTCGCTTATAGTTTGCCTCCATTCTCTATTCCTGGCAAATTCCACTTCGCGTCGTTCCTCGCTTATATTTCCCATTTTCGTCTCCTTTCTCTAGCCCTCGCTCGCTCTACTTCACCTGCTTCACGGCATTGCTCGGTATTATTTCGTCTCCTTTCTTCAGCCCTGACTTGCTCTACTTCACGGCAGTATCACGTACTCGCGACTTCCCGCCAAAAGATGACATTCCGATGACCCCCGAGCAGGGGCGGGGGAGAACACTCTGCGACGCCTGCCCCCGAGTTACCTTGAGTACTCTCATCTCCCTTCCCCAGAGTGTGTACGAACGATGTGTGCGGACGCTCGCTCGCTCGCTCTCTCGTACTCTCGTACGGTGCGGTCACGACCAAATTTTCTCGGCTTGATTTTAAAACTTGGAAATGGGAAACCACACTCTCCCTACTTGAAGACCTTCAAATTGTCAGCTCATCTAAATGATCTTCATTTTACTGAACGTAAACGCAGAGCTTATTCATGAACTTTCGAATTGAAAATAATTTGGTGTCGGTAGAAATGGGGCCGCCATTTTGTTCTTTTTTAGTCATATATGATTGCTAATAACAGACTAAGAAATGAGAGAACTGAGGAGAGGTGCTATTTTTCTCCCTAGGTAGTACAGTCACGTGGGGTTAAAGTACTGAAAACCTGTGCGTAAGACAGAATTTCAAATCATCTCAGAGTCGCTTGCGCTACTTTTCCCGCGCGGCTATCCTTAAGCTTGCAAATCACGATTTCGCTTTTCATCGTTTACCTTATCAAAAATTTCAAGAATCAAACAAGCTGTTTAGTTATAAGAACATAACGAAATAAAATTCTTGAATCTGATTGGTTGGTAGTAGGCCCATAGTTGGTAGGCCCTATTTCACAGTATTTGTGTCCGAAATCTCTTCTTTCATACACCTCGACGACAAGTAATTTCCGCTATCCGCTAAATAAATCATTATCGAGTTCACAGTTCGCTTTGTAGACCATTTTCTCCTGGAACGCGCACCACTTTTTAGGACCTTTTAGAAAGTGTAAGTGCTCCATCGCCTCTATGTTTTAGTCAGCTTTCCCGCACCGCTCTCCTCAGCGCGCACGCTTGCCTTCGTTCCCAGTTCAAAGCGGTTAGAAACAATATGGCGGATATTTATGGCGGATAATTTGATTGTATCTCCTTTTCAGTTTTTTGGCACTGCTTAGCCCAAGGTCTGCCTTTGCCAAATGTAATTCATATCCCAGACAATAAGATCATTAATTAATGTCCTGTTTAATGTAGATTTCCCGAAAAGTGGAGATGTGCAAAAAAGGAAAAAGGATGGCGAAGATCGTTTCAGTCGTTTACAAAGGTAAACTTTCCTCAGGATATAAGCTTTAGCTTAGTTTAGGTGGCTGGAAATAGTTTCCAGCACTTTTCCAACAGCTTGCTTACCAATGATTGAACGCTTTGTCTGCCAAAGAGTGGTAGAAGTGATCCATCAAAGTATAAGTGATGGAAAGAGCTGAGAAAACTATGACCATTGACCAACAGTACAAACCTGTACAAACACAATGACATGTGCGTGCAGTTAGCTGATTTTGTTTTGTTGTTGTTGTTGTGTTGTTGTTTGTTTTCTTGTTGTTGTTTTTTTTGTGTTTGCGATCCCTGCTAATTCTTTTGTGACAAGTCTTAGCTTAGCAGAGATAATTAACAGTCTTAATTAATGTACGATTAAAGAAAATGTAGATCAATTTGTTTTATGTATGTTTT